GCAAGCAAGCAAGCAAGCAAGCAAGCAAGCAAGCAAGCAAGCAAGCACGCACGCACGCACGCACGCACGCACGCACGCAGGCAGGCAAGGAAGGAAGGAAGGAAGGAAGGAACAACAGTGCACAAATCAAAAATAGGTGAACAATAGAGCCAATATATAGTTAAGTTAAGTCACCAAAACAAGGAATGGCTAGTCTACAAAGCTATACCCGAAACTACTTCTACGCTCAAAAATTAAAAGCGGGAGGGAGCGCGGGGGAGGGCGCAGCCTCCCCCGCAGTGTAACTTGGTACGACCAAAAAACAGATATTATGCGCTGGGCATCGCAAAGTTTTGGAACATCGCATTTCAATTTCCCAGTGGGAACCACAATGGCTCTAGCTCTCTCATTTGTCGGTCGGTCACTCGGAAGAAAGCGCGCATGTACCTTCCTTCCTTCCTTCCTGCCTGCCTGCCTTCCTTCCTTCCTCCCGCTAGCCCTTCCTTCCTTCCTTCCTTGCTTCGTTCCTACCTTCCTTCCTTCTTCCTTGCTTGCTTGCTTGCTTCCTTCCTTCCTTTCTTCCTTTCTTTGTTTCGTTTTTTGATGCATTTGTATTTTTCTCTGATGCGTCCCCGCCTGCACTGTGGTTCGCCACGTGGTTGGCCAAAGCTTCCCCTTTTGCTGGGCCGCGTCCAAGTACCTCCAGCAGCCAGCGGCCATACTAGTGCGCTGTGAATCTACCCCAAACATCATCTGCTTCGAATCCTCATGCGCATCATGCCATGCGTAATACACAAAGACAGGTGGCTGCATTCCTACTGTTTTTCTGCTTGCAAACATTTGGAACCGCACATGGTCCAGACACAGATCCGGCTGAGAAGAAGTGGGTGAGTGCTAACAACACACATTGGCACACCGAAAGCACCACATGCACCAGCCATCCACATATGGCTGAAACACGGGGTTGGCCTGCAATTGTATCACTAAACATCCTGTGGAGATTCCACACCGGATCTTCATTGCACCCCATGTTCCACGTGGTTGTCCCATCCGTTTCCCCAACAGGCACAAGGTGCTTTCGCGGGTCGTCTGTCGACTGCAGTGCCTGCGTTTGAGGACTGGATCTGTAGCAAAGTGATGGCCTTCCACAAGGGCAGCTAGCTGTACCACGCGGTTCCAGAGGAAGTCACTGTCACGCGTCTCCTGAGAAAGTCAAGATGCTTTCAGAAGGACAAATGCAAAGAGTGGAGCGGCAACAAACCAGCAGGGGGGAGTAGCTTTCTGCAAGACCATCGTTTGGACCATATGCTCACCATTGCCCACCAAAGAAACATAATAAAGAAACCCTTTATATAACTCTATCTAATTCGGGCAAATCCATCTAGACGCCACATTTCGAGTTGTTGTTTGTGCGAAGCATATGCCTCTTCAGTCCTTTCTATAAGGCCTTGCATCGCCACGTCTCTTCACATAACACCTAGCATGTGAATGGTCCTTTCATACGACATGTGTTTTGCATTCTAGAAAAATCCAAGTCCGTTTTTCTCGTTTCACCCCATCGCCAACTGCGGCCCAGTCTTGCGCACCTCCCAGAGGTCGCAGCTCTCCATGGAGTGGTGCTCCACTAGCCAATCCAAGTCTTTCTGCGCCAAGGGCCACAGCGTCTCGTTCACCAAATGCCTCAGTTTTTGGAAGGTCTTCTTCAAGGTGGACAGTGGGCAATCTGTGCAACTTGCAAGATGAAGATCGGACCCCTTTGGGTCATTTTGGTACCTAAGAGACAGGGCTGATCGGTCATGAACCTTTGGTGTTGCTTCGATGGATTCGGCTTTGCCAGTTTGGAAGGAACCGTCTTAATACCGGAGCATGGATGGTGATCCTGGAAAGCATGCGTGTCTCTCAGAGTAACGTACAAACATGTCGCCCTGCTATCACCCCAAAAACATCCAAAAACACATGTTTCTAAGTGAAACACGCATGCCTGATTCACAGTTTCAACCCTGCTATGCCACTCCGAAGCTGCACCGGACAAGCAAGCTGGCATCATCGGCCAAGTGACGGGAAGATTTCAGCGGCTCGCATCAACAAGCGAGCGCGCAAGGCTGGTCCTCGCACAAATAGCGTCACGAGTGTGTAAGTTTAGCATCCACAAATAAATTGGCAACAACAAACCATGGAAAATAGTAAACCCAACAGCCGTAGAGAACCAAACTCTTCCTAGGTAGGCCTTTAAACACAAACAAACTGTATAGTAATAAGAACAAAACAGAGTAATAAGAGTAGAGCAACTCCAAGGAGTTCAATGGCCCAAACCCACCACTTCCGGGCCCACAACTTGCATTGCTGGAACAATTTGGACTCCAAAAAAACAGTGAAACTTGAACTGAAGCCACCCAAACAAGGACGCTACTAGGTGGAGGCCATCGCTATTAGGTTGGAGGCCATCGCTACTAGGCACAAGAAGCTACTGGGGGCTCCTGGCCTTACTACTACGAGCGAGGACTAGGGGCTCCTGGCATCGCTACTGGAAACAAGAAGCTACTGGTAGCACCTCGGCCAACGCAGCGAAAGCCTTTTCGACCCGGCTCCCCGCGTCCGAACGCCGCGCGTTGCCGCGCTCCGTCGGTCTGCGGACGGCACCAGCCGCCCCGGTAGGGTTCCCCGTCGAAGCTCCACTTGGGCTCCACGAAGGCCTCCTGGAGCCCAAGGCCGAGCATTTTCCAAAGTTGGGACAACTGGGAACTCGAGTGTTGGAGTGCAGTTGGGTTTTTCATTGGGTTGTTTATCTGTTCAATTCCTGCATCGTGAGCTTGGGATTGTAAACAAATTGAAATTACCCCAAAGATGTCACTTGTGCAATAAGTTTGGACCTCTGTTAGGGGTTGATCATTCCTCTTGAACCCTCTTCTTTTTCTGGGGCCGCCGATCTGCTCTCTGATCGGTTCTCATGCTTTTCACAGACCAACTGACGACCCGACTCCCTGGCAACGCCGAAGGACTCTTCGTATCGAAACACAGCTTCAGGCGACATCGCACCCATCGCAGCGACATCAGGTGCGATCGCAGCTACATCGGGAAGGCCATCCTATGACGAAAGGGAACGGCGTCTTGGTTGCAACTGTTTGTTCCATGGATTCCCGGCTAGATCAAATTGAGTGGACACAAAAGGAACCCCAGCCAAAAAGTATGGCCCTGAACTACCACGAAACTACCAAAATGTTGGACGGCTCCATTGACCCCACGCCTCCGCAGCAGACTGCACACTCTCCAGATTTCCGGCCAGTCTGGTGCGGCCATGCATGCGTGCCACCCAGGCCGCATAGGCGACGATGGTCTTCTCCACGTCGCTTCTCCTTGACGGGACACCATTCGCCGTCAGGTCGCTGTCAGGTCGACGTGAGGAAAACGTGAGGAAAACGTGTGGGGAATCCAACCTGAAAGCCTTTGATCCCGAGGATTTCTCGCAGGGTAAGCCTACCCTAAGATCGTTGATGGACAGATCGTGCCGGGGATGTTCACTACAAAGACTCCATCTCAGGTGCTACTGGTGCAGTAAGGTCTCACCGGTCTGCGTTGTTCTTAGCTCTCACCCAAGGGTACCAGGAACCAACATCGTTTTCCACCGGACTCCTGCATTTGTGGGGTACCGGGTCGAAACAGGGAGCTATGAATAGCGTGGCACTTGTTACTACTAGCTTCTTGTTACTACCAGTAAGGCACCTGTTACTACTAGCGTGGCACTTGTTAGTACTAGCTGACCTTCACAGGTCTCTTCGTGGTCATTCCGTTCGGATTCTGAGGAGTGCAGCTTGGCCGTCTCGGAGCCTGGCCCACGTTGCGCCACTGGGCCCACAGCCAACCGTGACAGGGAGGGGGGGGAAGACCACTTCACATGAAAAGGCGAAACCGCGGCGAAACCCTCCGAAATCGGCACCAAGGCACAGCTTTGGGAGGGTCGAATCTGAGGTGCGCCAGCCCTGACCAGAAAAGCGGTTCTGGTCTCTGCGAGGCAGAAGCATGTTCACTCTTCTATTGGGTTCCAGGGAACAAGATCACCTGAGTGGTTCGACCGAGGAAAGCCCATGATTGGTTCAGTGGGTGACCACTACCGTTGCTGCAGTTGGGCATTCCAACAACAGCAGTGACACAAGGCAAACCCAGAACTTCCCCCCAGCCACCCCGGATACAAACTCTTTTGGACCAGCTCGCACGGTGGCCCTAGCAACCAGCCTGCAAAATTCTTCCAAGAATGACGAAGAGCTCTCAAACACCTCTACACACCCAAAGCCTGTCCATCCCAAACCACCATCGTCTTGACTCATTCGAGTCCAGCGCCAGTGACCCGTTCCACCCCGCACAACCCGTCCACCGCGCCCGCAGGGACGGTGCCATCGACACCGGTTCATCGTTGTGCCTGGCGCAGGGACGGCAGGTTGTACGACGCCGGTCTCCATGACGGGTGGTATGTTTGCCGAGTTTGTTCTCAAAGCACCATGAATATCTCAGAATATCTCAGAAGCTGTGGAGCAGAGATTGGGTCATTTGGCCTCTCGCCAGCAGGGTCTTTGTTTTTGGAGCACTTCGTGCACGCCAAGTCCGTTTGGAATCTCCGAGTGCCCATGTCTCGCCTTGTGGAGCGCTCCACGCGCTCTAAGAGGGTCAAAAGGCTCAGGGAGGCGTCCCGAGTCCAATGAAAGCCGTAGGGCATGGGGTCCATGATGCCGCAACAGTCCACCCTCAGCAATGGTCGCTCCATGCGATGACGACGCCCCACCGCTTTTGATGTCGCTCCATCTTCCAAGAAGACACACCAATGAGCGCCGCTATTGAACTGGTCCCCCCAATTTCGCCAGAGTTTTTTGTGGGTTCCATCAACCGCAGAATCCTATATTGTACCATGTTGATATATGTTGTTGATCCATTCTGTTATATCTTATTCATCCCATCATCCCTCACATGTGTGTCTTTCTGGGAAAGGAGGCAGAGCTGGCCCATGTTTCATGGTTGGACCACTCGGGCAACCAACGTTACATAAGAAGGCACGTCAGAAAAAAGAATCCAGGCAGAAACTGCTCGATCCGTTGAGGTCCCTTGCGAAGGTGGACCTATACGAAGGTGGTCCGTCTCCCTCCGAGCGACTGTGCCGGACACGCTCCCGGCGAGGCGATCACAGCGCCCAAGCCGTTCCTTGGAACGAACCGGAGCCAGCCAAACGGCGGAGCGAGTTGGGCGTGGGAGGTTTGGCATGACATCATGATAAGAATGTCAAGCGTTTTGTCGTTTTGATCGTTCTTTTTTCCCCTCTTGCTTGTCTTCTGCTTGCTGCAGAAAAAAGACACCGCAAAAGGCAAAAGGCCCTTTCAGATGAATTTGTCAATGTTGATGGTTGATCTCTCCCCTCAAAACCAGGATCCTTCAACGTTGCTTCAAAAAGGTGGTCAACACACTCTCACACTGAATATCACCCTCTCTCCACTCCCCTTCGCGCCCACCGGGAAACCTCCCCCCCGGCGTTCCTGTCGTCGTTCCTTTCCGCGCTCGAACGCTGCCGAGCGGCACGTTGACGTTGGCCTCGAAGAGCCGCCAGAGCTCGGCTTCCTCCGCCGCGCTGAAGGGCGGCGCCTGAAATTCATTCGCCGACATCGCTCGGTCGCTTGCAAGTCTGAATCCCAAATGATCCTTCCTGTTTGTCGCATCGCCATCCTCAAGTAGATACTGCAGGATAGGATGTAGATGGATGTAGCATGTGAAGCGTGTCAATATCCATAGGACCATGGCCACGGCCTTGCTTAGACCTCCCTCACTATCTGAAGAACTGCAGCTTGCACTCCTTCCCATCCAACGACAGAGCATGGGACCCAAAGCACCAAGACTCAGCGAAAAGCCAAGAAATCGCTCGCATTCTTTGCTTCATTTGGAGTACTCGGGCCACCGGCTAATCACTGCTCAACGGCTGGGGACACTTTGGACAGTTTGGCTGTGCCCTGCCGCACCTCCAAAGGCTTCTTCAAATGCACAAAGCAGCTGTCGCCAGCAGCTCCGAGGAGCAGCAAACATGGCGACCAAACCCATCGTCGCAGCATGGCGGCTAAAACCATTGTCGCTGGTGCCACGGAGTCTTCGCGTGAGGTTCTGGTGCAAACTGGCTGCAGGAAGTCGCAAGGTCGAGGAGAACCTTCCGGCCCAAAAGTGTCGCCTCTTTGAGGAGCATGGACCCGATACTATAACTAGTGCCTTTGGATGTTACTTCGGATACTTCGGAAGAAAGTTACATCCGAAAGGACAAAGAACATGGAGCCACTTCAGACTTAGAAGATGGAGCCTCCGGGCCACGGCCGTCCGAAAAGTCGGAAAGCGGCAGGTCGTCTCCAGTCTCCCAAAGAGTAGAGTCCACCGTCCGCAACCCACCCCGATGTGCACATTGATGTGCGCTTGAGACACCTGAAAATAAGAATGTAAAACCTCTCAAAGACCACTTACCCTACTTCTGGTGTCTAGTCCTGCACCCTTGTGTTCTGGGCTGAATGAAAAAGAAGAGGATCAATACGAGAAACCGTGATGAAAGGGAAATTTAGCAGTAGATGTTCAGTGATCGCCAAAGAGAGATTGCCAGTGCCATCGTCGCAACACACATTGTTGAGCTCACCTTTTCTTGCAACTGCCAGCCAGGTGAAGGCTGTTACTGCCACCAAAGGTCAGAGCCACTGGGAGCTTTTCAGCCAACGCACAAGAAGGCTTCATCTAAGTTCCATGCTTCCAACGCATCTGGGTTCCAACGTGCTTCATTCGGTCAAAGCCCCTCCTCTGCGCAAAAAGGATCTCTCCCGCGCACTCATCCCGCAGGTGGGGATCTCCGACGCTGAGGTTGCGATCCAATCGGAACAGCGCAGAATTCACCAAAAAAAGAAATCGTAATCATCTTGTGTATCTCATCTCGTACATCTTTGATGACCCAAAAACATGTTCAAACTCGATCAAACTCGTTGGCTGGCAGTCCTCTCAGTCCTATCGCAACCCCTAAAGAGCTGCCCTCGTGGGCTCTCATCGACCTCTCGACAGAGCCTGGCCCGGGAGAACCGGGCGGAAGAAAGGGGAACCATGTCATCCGCACCGTGCACATGCGCGGGATCGGCGACCGGGAGAACAGAAAGCAGATCTCCCAGAGAGTCCATTCATGGGGGTGTTTCAAACCTCCATCATAAAGGGCTTGCCTGTGCTTGAGCCGCACTCAACTGCCTCTTACGTGCAAAGGACGTCAGTGAGAGTTTGATGTGCAAAACAGATAGTCGGCAAAGTGGTCAAGCACAAACAAATGCGCTAACAACCTGGACGAAGTCGTTGCCGATCCAACAAAAACTACATCACATGAATAGCCTGCGTTCAAAGTGCATGAATAGGCGATTCCTCAGCAAACCTCAGCCCAGGTCAAGTAAAAATGCTAAAGCTCAGGTAGAGCTCCTCTTTGAGGATCCCTTTTTTTCCGAATCACCTAGCAAACAGATACCATTCCAGCTTCGCCCCAGCTCGGGGCAAGGATCTCCTTTGGAGCCCCCCCGCCATCGCTGGAACACACAAACCGAGCGACACACAGGCACCGTGTCTGATAGAGATGACGGCAGGGGCCGTTCAATCCCCGGTCACAATCCCCAGTCACCACCATTTCAAATAAAAAGCATGACCTCCTAAGGCCCCTGGGAATGCGTGTGTTATGTGTCCCCAAATAGTGTGATCACACGTAAAACCTAGGGGTTCTTGCGGTAAGGGATAAGGCTGGGTTTGATCGAGGGTCTTTGGCGTGCTTGGCCGGTGCAACGACTTGTGAATTTTGGATGTGGTTCTTCTTCAGAATTTGGGGGAGCTATCGCGGTTGCGAAAAGCACTCGCAGGCCTGCGCAATCTTGAAGTGCAGATTTCGTGGCTGGCGCCGCGCTTTGTGAACCCGGAAATGCAGACTGCGTGGCAGGCGCAGCGATCTGTGAACCTGTCATTTGTTGTGCTCTCCATTGTGTGCTCGCTTTCGTATGTATGCTCTCATCTGTGTGCTCTCATATGTGCTCTCATGTGTGTGTGTGTGTGGGCGCGCTCTCATTGCCTGCTCATACATGTGCGCTCTCATGTGTGTGTGTGTGTGCTTCGATGTGTTTGCTTGCATATGTGTGCTCGCTCATACCCGTGCTCTCATCTGTGTGCTCTGATGTTTGTATGTATGTGTGTGCTCTCATATGTGTGCTTTCATACATGTGTGTGTGTGTGTTCTCATGTGTGCTCTAGAGTGCGGAAGTTTGCGACCCTTGTCTTCTTCTACTCAACACTGTTTGGGATCCCTTGCCGGGATACATAAATATATATATATAACTTTGGAGCACGGGGGATTCAATTCGGTGATGAATCCGCGGACATGTTTATAGGGTGATTTCGGCTGCAGCTGGCAGATTTCGTGCGAGATTGCAAGGGACCCCATGGCAGTTGCTGAAACGGCGATGGAACCCCACCGCCCATGAAACCCCAGAAAAGGCAGGCCAAAAACATGATTGGCCCCTGCATGACACCTGACTCTTGTTCTGACTTCAAACCCTTGCCGTGGAAGAAGTGATGTGTTCAAACCTGTCCTTGAAATGACCGCCTCTTCATGTCTCTGCACTCATTAAGAAGGGTATATCCTCTCCAGCCAAAGACGAACATCTCCATCCAGCAAACACCCGCGATGGACACGGCACTCTACTCGTCACAGTCGTCACACACTTTGCTTCGGCACCTGGCCCCGGAGGTCGCAGGCGCAGGCGCAGGACACCCCAGGTGGGTTGGAGTCCAAATAACCAGGGACGGGCAAGAAGCCAACAGACCCAACAGTTCAACAGCAACAACATCTATAAATCACTATAACTATAAACTATATAAAAGATAAACAAATATAAGAACTCCTCTCAGAGTCTCCTAAATGTCCTGGTAGCAAATTGAAATATGCTTGTGGCATGGACACTCACCGGTCCGCGGTCTCCAAACGCCAAAGCGCAGGGTACCTTCGGTCCGTCATCATCTATTGGATTGTCATAGAATGTCGGAGGGCATCAGTACGGTGACTGGAGGGCAGTAGCTTCACGAAAATACTCGCTGAGGGTCCGCTCTCCCCTGAAGAAGCGGCAAAAGCCACCCCCTTCGAAGCTCAGGAAAAAGAACCTCTTCGCAGCCTCAAGAACAATAGAAGAACTGTAGAACTTGCCGAGATTGGCAGCATGAAGAACTCTTCCAACTGGGTCTCTGGGTCCTGGAATCTGCCTGGGTCGGATCCCACCCTTCGGCGTCGGCTGTGGGGCCGGTGGGCCGGACCCCGCACCTCGTGCTGTTCCACGGCTTCCAAGCCTCGGCGCTTCCGGAAGACGTCGGTGCTGTTCCAAGGACGGAGCGTCCGTCGGTTGGAGAGGTCATTCATGAAGACCATCTGAAGATGCGGAACAAGACTTTCTGATTCTTCTCTATCTATCGGTGTTGATTTGGATGGATGAAAGGAGGTTGAACGCTGTGGTCGCCGAGTTTTACTGAGGATCCGAATATCTAAAGTACCAAACGGGATCTTGAATTCCAACCTCATGAGGATCCGTATGCCTTTCATTGCATTTCGAGCACGAATCTGCTCAAACAGGACGGGAACCAGGAGCATCAGCAAACCAATTCTTTTTAAACGCAGCAGTCTCACCTGCCGAGGTCTCGACAACGCTCCATATCTGCTGGATCTTTGAAGGGATGGAACCTCAGCTGCGGGGACAAGGTCGGAAAACCGTGGTTGTTCACCCCCCAAAACGATGGATTTCAAACCACTTCTGGGAACTGGGAACGTCCCTCTCAGGCCCAAGTAGAAGGCAAGGCAAGAAGAAGTGATGTCTTCCGCATGAGGAAATCTTCCGCACCACCGTGCAAAGCATTATGTTACATGTTTTTTGCCAATGTAGACCTGTTGATGAATAAACCCCCGCCATGCTTTAGCAAAAAAAAAACAACGTGGCAAAATACGAGCGGTGTTCCACGCACCGCTGGACGGTCCGTCTTTTTCTTTGATTTGGCATCAAACCGGTTCGTCTAGATCCTCCAAGGCACGCCACGACATGAGGATCGTTGCAAGACCTACGAGCCGAGGCCCAAGCGGGAGAAAATCACCGTGTGACCTGCATCTCGACAGCAATGGTGAAGAGATGGCAACCCCATGGCCGCTAAAAATCATGAGTTCGACGTGCATCCTTGAAATCGGAGAAACGGGCGAGAAATGGCGATGACGATAAACCGATCATAATATATCCATGCCCAAACACTATGAGGACAGTTTGGCTGTCCTAAGGTCCCATGCTTTCTTCACTTGAACTCCAATGGCCCAAGTGAGGACCTGTACAGCATGAAAGTCCAACAACCACCGGGTCACCAGCAACTACGTAAGACTAAGAACACCTATATAAATGTTTCTGGGGGTGATGGCACGAAAACATTTGCAAGCCCATCTCACTTGAAGACACTTCGAGCCATCCCACTTCGCCCATCTCTGAGCACCGTCCCAGTCGTATCTGCCGTCCCAATCGTCCAATGCCTCCAGTCGGGAACGTGAGGCTTGCAATGAGCTTCTTGCAGCAAAGTCTTCACAAAAACCTGTTTGGCCTGGCCAGGAAGCAGAAAAAACTGCAAAGAGATCGATCGAGTGCTTTTCTCGGTCTGTTTCTTCAGGGTTCAAAGAACACCGCATACCCCTCCGAAAGAACAATCTCAGCTTCACTTTTAGCACTATGTTTATGCAAGATGTATGTGGATGTTTCATGCACACAGGTCAGTACCGAAAGTGAGGTTCACTTACCCAAGGAGGCACGCAGATCAAAATGCCAAAGAGCTTCGGTGATGTTGTCATTAGAAAGTGTGAGGCCCAGAGACCCTTAGGTCTTGGTTCATCCCTCAGGATGGGCAGCGCCAGTAGGCATCATCTTTCAGTCGAGTCTGGCTCGTCTACTTTCGATGTCGGGGAGTTTAGTTGCCAATCAAACTCCTGGAATGAATCAAAATCACGCAAATCCCCTGTCTTTGTCCTACAAATTCCACCTTGTTGCAG